CATTGCTGTTGAATGCACAAATGTTTGCAGATACGCTGCACAGCTATGAGTGGTGAGGCAGCCTATTATAGCTTGAATTACTGCAAAAGCTACTGTTCATTGTATAAATGCAGAAATGCCTGTCCATCTTGAGGGGAAGCACAAGAATCCGGCGGGATTTATTTCTGTATGCTAACAGCTATAGAAGAGATCATGTGTCACGTGGAAAAAATAGCAGTAAGAAAAATGTTTTCAAGATAAAGTCATTCCTATGATAATAGGGTTGTTATCTTAATTGATCTGGCCACAATAATTACGTTTATTTTATTTTTAAAACAGAGAAATGACATTGGTAAACAGCTAAAAGGTTAATTAAAAGAATATTCCGAGTTCAGAAGTTGTTCAGTCAACAGCATTTGTGGCATACTGTTGATTAAAATGCAGAATAATTTCACTTTGTTCTTTAACAAAAGCAAAAAGTCAAAGCTGCAATGAGTCACTTACAATTGAAGTGACTGGGGCAAATTTATGGAGGATTTAAAAGCAGAAATGTGAAGCATACAATTTTATTTGCATTAATTCTCTTGTTAAAACGTGTATTATATGAGATGCGCAGTTTTCACCATTTTAAAGTCATTTTAGATTTTTAGGTATGTTGTTAAGGGTTATTATAATTAGCAAATTATAGTAATTTTGTATTACAAAAATCCTTTTTTTACTTGAAATAAATATTAGCTGAAATAAAATAAAAAACTTATTTTATTTCAATTTAATTTAGTTTAATTTGATGTACTAAAATATTTAAAACTAAAATAAAAATAAGAAAAAAATGAAATTATAGATTAAAATGAAAATGAAAACAGGAAACTATGAATATGATACTATGAAAGTATCGCAATATTAAAATAACTGATGCTGTAAATTTGGATATAACTTTACTCAAATATTAACATGCATATTGTTTATATCTATAATCTTGAATGAGTGAGTAATGTTTACAGATTCAATTCTACTGTAAGTACCTTTTTCTAAGACAAAAGTATAAAAAAATTATGTGATAAAGCTGTCCATTAAGCTTAATTTATAATATATCCAGAATATTGATACAGCATGCACATTCTTGTTAGTTTAATACAAGACCACTTCCTCATCTTTGGTTTCTCTGGTTTGTGCAAACACTGTAGACAATCTCTGAAAACAGGGTTACTCTGTCTAGAGAGAAAACACAATGAATAGAGTAGCTGAAGTGTGGCACTATGGTATGATATTGAAAGAGAGAATTGGTGAGAAATAAAGCAATATGGGCCACTGCATCTAGACCCAGATTACTACGCTAGGAGTCTTTCTCTTGATAGTGTATTGATCCATGGTGGCCCAGCTATTTTCCAAACAGTGACTCGCTGACTGAGAGACAAACATCTCCTGCTCTGAGAAAACAGACAGATGAAATAACTGGGTGCATTGCTATAATTAAACCCCAAATATGTCCGTTTATATTTTATGAGCAGGTTGGTTAAACCAACCCTGGAATTAAATGCTAAATGATTTCACATCACAAAAACATGTGAAATGTACTGCAGGATCAACCGAACTCAGTGATTTTCCCTCTGTGCCAGCTTCTATTTGCACAAAAAGCCAAAAGGTCTGGTTGCATTAAGCTGCTGTTGACTCATTTGGAGAATAATGACAAAATTGTAAAAATAAATAAATAAAAATTATTTGAAAAAAAAAAAAAATATATATATATATATATATATAAAGTTAAATAAATAAATAACAGCAAGTACAGAAAACAGAACAAGCACAGCAATTACCACCAGCAGGGTAAGCACAGCATGTACAGCAAGCATAACAATCACAACAAACTCATCAAAGCACATCACACTGGACAGTCAAAAGCTCTACAATGTGCATCTCAAAAGCACAAAACACTGTTAAGATTGTATATATAAATGCACCAAATGTTCTGTGCCACACTGGATTCAAACCCCCATCCAATCGGTGCACACTCATCAGGCTGCTGAGGAGAGCTTTCAGTGTGAGAATGAGCACACTAAGCGTTACTTAGCATGTTGACCAGATTAGCATGCTAAGCTAATTATAAACAAAATAATGAAAAATGAGAGCTACATCGTCAGAATTGGCATAAACCACACAGAGAAACAGAAACATAGAAAAAGTTAAATTTGGGGGCGGGGGGGAATTAAAAGTTATAAGCAGATTTTGCAAAAATCCTTATATCTCTGGAACACTAGGTAGCACTGTGTTCAAACTTCTCAGGTACCTCTGGGACATGATCGGTGCATTCCAAATGGGCTATACATCACCCTCCGAAGGGCACTTTGGAGTGAAAACAATCATATTGAAGGGTAAATAATAATAATAAAACTATTATATTATTATAATTATTAATAACAAAACTATCAATTACAGCACCTTCGGTGCTTGGCCCCTAAATCAATCAATCAATCAATCAATCAATCAATCAAACAAACAAACATGTTTGGCCAAAAGAATTGATTCGATTAATACATAATTCATTGAAAGTAGGGCGAATCCCTCTATTTATTGATTGTACTTAAAGGGACACTCCACCCCAAAATGAAAATTTTGTCATTAATCACTTACCCCCATGTCGTTCCAAACCCGTAAAAGCTTAGTTCGTCTTCGGAACACAATTTAAGGTATTTTGGATGAAAAACGGGAGGCTTGTGACTGTCCCATTGACTGCCAAGTAAATTACACTGTCAAGGTCCAGAAAAGTATGAAAGGCATCATCAGAATAGTCCATCTGCCATCAGTGGTTCAACCGTAACGTTATGAAGCGACGAGAATACTTTTTGTACGCTTCAACAATTAGTCTCCTCTGTGTCTCTCTGCATCACCGTAGCGCCATTTTGGAGAATAACCACTGAACGCAAGCAGCGTACGCTCTTCTGTGTCAGCCGCGCTGCATGGATGCGCTGATTTCATTCAAATCAAAGTGCAAATACACGTAGAAAACGTATCCTTGTGTCGCGGCTGACACAGAATAGCGTATGCTGTTGTTGAATATGTATGTTGAATAGCAGAATTGTTGAATTAAGTCCTTTTTTTTTTTTCTTCGCGTACAAAAAGTATTCTCAGGGTAAACAGAACAGAACCAACATAAATGTATTGCAGATATTGTTAAAGTTCAATAATGTTATGTACACATTTTTGAATTATTCTGATTCAAAGGAGAATCAGAAGGCTGAATCCTGACTCACAGAGGAGGAGTTGGGGATGGAGGAGGGTAATTAGCTATTGAGCAATGCGAAAACTGCTGATAATACTGAGGGACCTTATATATGAATGCTTAGATGGGTGTCGTATTCCCATAGGTTGATGGGGATCAGCTGAGAGTCAGCTGATGCGAGCTTGACTAACGTGACCTGCCAGAACTAACGCTATGCTAGATTTTGGGGTGGAGTATCCCTTTAAGATTAACCATTTAACAGGTTTCAACCTACTGAAATCTGAAAAAAGCACGCCTCTTTAATAGGCAATAATAAAATAGCTTCAACTGGTCTTCATGATTGAAATATGAAATTAGCATAATCAATAATAATTTATGAGTTGAGCGATCTGGCATCCTATAATTTCATTATATTATTCCATTAGGAATAATTTCATTATAATATTCTATTAGGGCAGTCGTGGCCTAATGGTTAGAGAGTCTTCAAGTCTCAGGTCCGGCAGGAGTGAATACCCAGTGCTCTCTTGCACCCTCAATACCGCGACTGAGGTGAGACCCAGCACCGAACCCCCAACTGCTCCCCGGGCACTGCAGCAATATGGCTGTCCACTGCTCCGGGTGTGTGTGTGCGCACTTGGATAGGTTAAATGCAGAGCACAAATTCGGAGTATGGGTCACCATACTTGGCCACACTTCACTCACTCACTATATTTGAATAAGACTGTATTTCATAGAGTAATAAATATGTCTGAATATGTATTAGGTAGATATTTTAATACAACCTAACCAGCAACTGCAGAAGGCGTTTAACCATTCACAGCTCTCTTACAACTCAACATTATGTTTCTAGAATTCATTTTCATAATGCTTCTCCATTGTAAAATGTGTTTGTTGTTCTCTTTCATTTCACGCAGAAAAAGAGCTCCAGCTCCCGTTTCCCACTATTTTTCCGCTGCTTTTCTGCTTTATTACTTTCCTTCAAGTTTAAAAGGAGCAGAACATGAAAAGCTTTTAGAGTCTTTCACAGTAGGCTTTATTCAAAATGTCACCTTTAGCCAGTTTTATAATAAAAAAACAAAGCAAAATGCTAGAGAACATAAATGGGAAAAAGACAAATATGGCACTGTAGAAATTTTCATAATGCATTTACTCGCATAACGTGAGTTCCAGTGAATATTTTATTGTGGGTTGCTCTCCTAAACAATCCTCGATGTCTGACCTACCAACAGTTAATGATGCATTAGACAGACCAAAAAAAAAATTAAAAAAAATTCTGAATTAGAGAGTGCAATTTGTAAATCTCTCATTCACACTTGTTGTGTAGCTGGGGGTGAATTTGGTCAACCCCTTTTAGAGCACACTCGTAACAGTTCAAGTGCAGCAGAGATGCTAATGGACAGATACAGGACATGGTTTGCTGTACATGGAAATGTTGTTTGTTGTCCATTAATTCCTCACATTTATTGTTGGGTGATCTCATGAAAATGTCTAGGCCACAAAAAACAAAGAACTTATATTTTGCTTAAAAAACAAAGCCTATTTTAGGACCAATTAGATATTTTGCTAACTTCATGATCTTCATGTTCTACCCACTTCTTGTCAGTTAATTGAAAAACAAATGTTATATCATTTAAATTAAGGAAAATAGTGATTACACATGTTATCATTTGTTGTACTTGATTTGATTTATGCCGATTTAAAAAAAAAAAAATCATCATCGTATTACATTCAAGACAATGAGATGTTTCTTTTCATTATGCCAATGAGAATTTGGGATTAAAATGTGCTTAAACAAACAAACAAAAACGTAATGATCCTAAAATAGGCTTTATTTTCTTTATGCAAAAATTATTTTTCTCATTCACATTATTTGTGCTACCCAGAAAAGTAGTGTCCTTTTCCACTTCAAATAATCATTAAATAATAAAAATGCAAAGTATAAAGTGCAATTGAAACAACAGATCAGCAATTGCATATACAGATTTAGATTATCTGTAAAAAAAAAAAAAAAAAACAGAACAAATGAAGAAACCTGGGAGGAGTGCATGCTCTCATTATTACACGTTACAATTCCACGTGTGCCTTTATAAATGATAGAACATAATTTAACTTTGCTCTGGGCTGAAGAAATGAAAGTATAACTGTAATTTAAAGAACAAACAAACAAACAAACCAACAAACAAGAAGTATGCTTCTCCCTGCAAGCTGTCTGTGTGTGTTTAGTTCAAAAGAAAGTCCCTGTGTGAAATTCAAATGCTATCATTACTGAGCAACAAACAACAAAGAATGTTTGAATGTAAGAAGTCAGTGCATGTCACTTTCAAAAAATTATACACAGCAAAACCCAAAGAAAACAAACTTGCATCAAAAAAAGAAATAAAAACCTATTCCTGACCAAATCAATCATGAACAAAGTTAGGGTGGACTCTTTTATGGAAGAGAAGACACGAGCGATGGGTTCTTTGACCTCTGCGGTGCTGGGAGGGATGAATCAGAAGATGTGTTTGAGATGTTTGATGCCATAGGTCTGGAAGAACACCAGCAAGATAAGAGTCCAGAGCCCCAGAATGAAGCCATCAGGAGGGTGCCAGTCTTTCTGCTTGGGTTTCTGTGAAGAAATATCAGCAACAACTCAGATGAGTCTGTTCTATATCATGAACAACTGAATTTCATTTGCTCTTGATGTATGATGTAAACATACGCTATGCCTCTCCAGTTCAAAAGAGTTTTCTGAACACATCACAAGGTAATACAGGCTTTACAGAGAGGCTGTTATTGAAGGATAGGAATGCACAAAACTGCCAACAGTCAATCTTATTACCAACCATAAACCTTTTCAACACTTTAGAAAGTGCTAACAGGAATGCACTGTGAAGAAAGTGAATTTGAGCAAGAAAGTGAATCAAAAAGAAAAGAAAAAAGGAACGGGAAGAAAAAAGAACTAAAAGAAAAGATTTAAAGAATGAATGAGAGAGAGCAAGCAGGCAAAAACTAAAGAATGAACAGACTAATAAAAAAATGAAAGAATGATCAAATGAAAGAATGAAAGAATGAAAAAAGAGCAAATGAAAAATTTAAGAATTAACAAAAGAGGACACAAAAGATGAAAATAAAAATCAAACAAATGGTAGAATGAGTGTGAGCAAAAATGAACAAAACAAAACAAAAAATGGAGAAAAAAGAATGAAAAATAAAGAAAGAACAAGCAAGTAAAAGAAAGAAAGGGAAGAAACTTGAAAAAAGTTTGTTCAAACATGGAACAAAGAATGTGTGAATGAGCAAATGAATCAAGAGGAAAAATGATGAAAAGAAAGATAGAAATAAAGAATGATCAAGCAAACAGAACAAAGAACATGCAAGCAAATAAATAATCGAATGGAAAAATGGACAAACGAAAAATGAGCAAAAAACAGAATGAAAGAAATAATTGAATTCTGAAAAAATTAAATAAAAATAAAATAACAGAAAAACACAATAACAAAGAAGAGTACAGAAAGAAAGAAAGGAAGAGTACAGAAAGAAAGAAAGAAAGAAAGAAAGAAAGAAAGAAAGAAAGGAAGAGTACAGAAAGAAAGAAAGAAAGAAAGAAAGAAAGAAAGAAAGGAAGAGTACAGAAAGAAAGAAAGAAAGAGTACGTACAGAAAGAAAGAAAGTACAGACAGAAAGAAAGAAAGATCGAACGAACAAAAGAGTACAGAAAGAAAGAAAGAAAGAAAGAAAGAAAGAAAGAAAGAGTACAGACAGAAAGAGAAAGAAAGAAAGAAAGAAAGAAAGAAAGAAAGATCGAACGAACGAAAGAGTACAGAAAGAAAGAAAGAAAGAAAGAAAGAAAGAAAGAAAGAGTACAGACAGAAAGAAAGAAAGACAGAAAGAAAGTAAGAAAGAAAGAAAGAAAGAAAGACAGAAAGAAAGAAAGACAGAAAGAAAGAAAGAAAGACAGAAAGAAAGAAAGAAAGAAAGAAAGAAAGATATGCAGACTCACATATGCACAAACACTCACATGCACTTCAGCATCAGGACTCATCCGCCTCACTCATGTTTGCACATTTATAGCTACATCATCACAATGTGTATGAATATTATACATTTAAATCACCCACCATTAAACATGCATCACCAGACCTGCATTTATATGCTAATGCAGACGGAATATTTTACTGAGAAGAAAGATTTAACCTCTAAAAAGAAAGTGCTCATAACTTTTCCAATTCTAATAGAGGGGCTTGTGCAGGCCTTTGCTGCACTGCAGGTGAACATGAGTGAGTGTTTAACAGCAGACCTTCAGAATCAACCTGAATACAGCTACAGCCTGAGGCCCGACTCAACAGTGCCCTACAAATCAGGCGGATGTTCGTATACAGGCTGACCACCAGAGTGCACATAACCTGACTCACGGATGCCTCCAACCTCCGGAACTGGAAAAAAGCTCTGCGTGAGAAATGCAGCTTTAGGGAAAGACTACACAGGGGTGCGTTTCCCAAAAGCATCATTAGCCAATTATGGTCGCAAGTTCCATCGTTATCAGCATAGATCAACTAGTCTGTGTTTTCCGAAACCAGTTCCAACGAACATTCGCAAACAGCATCGCAAATGTGGAAGGACAGCTCTGGACCAGTGGTTTCTTGTTTGTATAACATGTGGACTTTATCTTTATCTTGAGCAAAATAAGCAAGCTGACATTCAGTACAATATATATATATAATTTTTTTCAGAGATTTAAAGCTCAGTTTTTGAAGATTGCGCATGTGCACGTTCTCTATAGTACGTAAGAAAGAGCCGAAGACTAAATCTGGTAATAAAGCAGAATAACTGAGAGGAGAGAAAAAAAGAGAGAATTAGCCCTCAGATGCCACGTCCGTAATTTATAGCAACAAAATCTGGCATTAATTCGATCTTAAACGGATTAATTAAAAGAACTTATTATTCCGTACCCACTGTATATATAATTTTTTTTTAGAGATTTAAAGCTCAGTTTTTGAAGATTGCGCATGTGCACATGTTCTCTATAGTACGTAAGAAAGAGCCGAAGACTAAATCTGGTAATAAAGCAGAATAACTGAGAGGAGAGAAAAAAAGAGAGAATTAGCCCTCAGATGCCACGTCCGTAATTTATAGCAACAAAATCTGGCATTAATTCGATCTTAAACGGATTAATTAAAAGAACTTATTACCCTAACAACTGCGTGACATTATTAACCATCATGAATGACAAATTTGTGACAATATTTTTCGGGAAACAGTCGTGACTAGCTAGTTGATTTCGTTAACGATGCATCGTACTATGCTAGTTAAGCAGCAAGTTACATCGTTGTACGGGAAACGCACCCCAGAACATTTGTGCATGCTGTTTATGCCTTGGAGCATATTTGCATTCAACATCATCGCTCATCATAGCTTTGGTCAATATACAATATACGAATTTAAATGAACAATTCACCCTGAAAGGAAAATTCTGTAATAATTTTTCTCACCCCCATGTTGTTCTTAAAAAAAACATTCTTCTGTAGAATGCAAAAGGAGAAAGTTTGAGGAATGTACTTGCCACTCTTTTTCATACAATAAAAGAGAATGGGAAAAGGCTTCAAAATGTCAAAAAACAAAAATGACATGCACCCTGTGCACTATAAGTCTTTTGAAGTCATAAAATAGCTTTGTGTGATGAACAGAATGAAAATATTACTGAAAATATTGTCCTCTGCTGTCTGCATACATTCTAACATGGTGCCTATTGTGGGGCAATAAGAAAAATCATTGATAAATTCCTAAAGTTCTTAGATTTTCTTAGAAGTTATTTTATAATTATTTCAAGCTTGCCTTGTCAGAAAAAAAGTCAGGTTATTTTAGGAGGTTAACTATAGTGTTATTTTATTATTATTCATATTATAATTTTGTATTCATATTTTAAATTACCTTTTATTTATATATTTTCACTTTTAATTTGTATTTGTTTAATGATTAGTAGTAGTTATATGCTTTTGTCATTTTTATTATTTTTTATTAAATATTATTTAGGTTTCATACATTTTTATTTCAGTTTTTTTTTTTTCAATTAGCAGTTTTAGTGCTTCGTCTTATATTTATATTTATGTCAGCCTAATTTCAATGAACAAACATGTTTACAATAGTTTTAGTCGACAATAATTACCCTGACATTTTTTTTTCATTGCATGCTGCATGCAGGTTGCACCACATGACTTGGTCACATTTTGATTTGGAAAAATATTTCAAACTTAATTAACAAATTTACAAAAATATTTCAAACTACTTCACTGTTTTTCCCCCTTTAAGAAATAATAATTCTAGATTATGCCAAACTACTGAATACAGCTTTCTTTAATTTTTAACAATCTCATCCTTTAAATGTGGCTTTCTTTTTCATTATGACCTCAGAACAGTTTTGTTCGAACTAACTTTTTTTTTTTCACATTTTTTTTTTATGCTCAGCACATTCATATGGTGCAAGATGATGTCTCTTGCTGCACCAAATTGTAAGATAGCAATAATGAGTGGCCTTCATCTGCATAATACATTGCATCTGAGTGGAGGACAGCGGTGGAGACGTCCCGAGTGCTGAGGTAGTTAACCTCCACAGCTAAGAGGGGCATGGGAGGGTGAAGACTCTACATAAGGGGGCTTCTCACATGGCTGAACACGGACTGATGGATTGACTCTGACAGATTGCACAGTCTACCTCCGGGAGCAGTCGAGGAACTGAGCTGGAGTTAACTAGAGCCACGCTAATGAGGAAGAGGAAGATGAAGTGAGATTATTCCAAAATTATTTGCACTTGAAAAGTCAGGTTAAAAATTGTTAAGATCATGATGTTGCCACTTTGGAAGGCACTCACAAGTAAGGGACACAGTCCTTTGATAGTCAGTTATGGGATCAGACATTTTCACCTGGCCAATGATGAAATGGGTGAAAAATTTCAGACACTGCAGGAGGAATGCGAGAGACTAGAATATCAAAGAGTCTTGGGGATGGACTCTTTTGATTTGTACCAGGAAGTAGCCACCTAGAAACCACCCAGAACACTCAGCCAACTCATAACAACATGCTAAAATCAGCTGAACTGCATAGCATCGGCCAGATGGGCTAGGCATTATTGCAAAATAAACCTGGAAAGCATGATCAGGACAGGTCTTTCATCATCCTGAGGGGGGTTCATTTGACAATCACCAGCTGACTCTATTTCAGGGGATCTCAAACATTTTTGTCAACTGAACTGATTAGATGTAAAATATATAATTTACCCCATGAGATTTTAAGTTAATATTTCAATAATTTAATGGCACATTTGCATTTTCAAGAATCTCTGTCATTGGGTAATGACCACATGACATGCAAGTAAATAGATAGGCCTATTTAAAAATATGTATTCGCTTTTTAGTAAATGTTGTGTTCAGTGTTGCATTTTTTTGTAATTTATTGTTGTTGTTGTTGTTGTTGTAGTAACTAATTACAAAAATAAAGACAGAAATAAATTATTGTTGTAAATTACCATTGTAAAATAAAAATGTCATAATTATAATAATTTAATTTCACACAGTGACAATACTAATATTTGTATCTTAAATTCTTCGCGTCAAACGTTCAAACCCTCAAGCT